TGCGTGTGCGTGCGTGCGCGTGCGCGCGCGCCCGCGCGTGCGCAGGCGTGCGCGCTGTCCTAGTTCATGGGCTACGGGGGTCACGCCCCTTTTCTTTGTCGTTTTCGTTTCTGTTGGATGGAGCTCCCCTATAGCTCAGGGAAACGTACCTGCTTCGCCTGCGCCTGCGCCCCCTAAGGGGCAGCTGGCGGGGCACTCATCTTCATATTCATCTCCAACTTTTTCTGTCTGGCGTAGCGAGGGCCGAAACCATACCGCTTACGCATGCCATTCCTTTGGTCTGGCATAGATGGGGCACCAAAATATCATTTCATCGTGGTTTTCATCATCATCAACATCATCTTGTTATAGTGTCAACCATGGCTGCGACCAAACTTTGACAAAGTGTGATTCAATGTCTTTCCGTCACGGCGCCGTGCTGGTCTCGATTGAGGCAGTCCTCGACGAAGGGGATGCGTTCAAACTTCTGTCTTGGGGGGGTATACTCTCCCTCTCTCCCCTTCACCTCTTTCAGCTATAAGGTACTCAGCCACCCGTTCAGAGGCGCAAGGTCCGTTCTGTGAATGCATACAGGGCCCCCATGTCCAGTTTGTCGGACATGTGTACAATGCGTCATGTGCAAGGGCACGTGCATCTGCCACGGTGAAGGTCTAGTTTGCGCTAGCGTGTATTGCGTTAAAGGTCTAATGAGTCTAATGCGGCTTTCAGGAAGCTTGTTGAGAAATGACATTTCCCCCCAGAGTTTTGCTCAGCAGACCCTCTGTCGGCATACCAACAGCGTGCAAGGCCCCGGCGTGTCCACAGCAAGGCCTTAGCAAGCCTCCATGTCCTGTCAGAACCTCCTGTAGCCCGTCGGGTCGTGGCCGGCCTACTTCCGTGAAGTTTACGCAAGCCAAGATTGAGGCCCTACCACCCTACCGTGAAACCAGTATCGAGTGCCGAACATTGCTTTGACAGGCACTCGCAAGTGGAGCGACCCATGACACTTCCCCTTCCTGTCAGGCACCTTCAACGAGGGCAAACCTGGCACCATCCGCAATACCGGGCACCTGTAACCATGCGAAGTGATAGCATGCTCCATACAGGTATTTTAAACCCAAGTCTATCAGGTAAGACTGCTGCAAATTACTGCCTTCCTAGTGGGGACATGTCAACTTTTGCCAACGAGATGCTTTGCAGCTTGAAGTCATGTTGTGTAAAAGCAAAAGACCCGGCCCTTAAGTTCAGTGATCAGCTGTGAACTTAGTTTTCGGCTTCCGCGCAAACACGCACGACAGTAGTTTGCGATCATTCCGATCACGGAGTTTTGATTTTGCACATGTATCATCAATGCCCTGTGAATGCGCTTTCCCTCGTTTTGGTTGAGCTTGTGTTGTGTTGAAAACCTACAAAACCACTATGAGGCTTTGAACCCCCTGTGCACAGGTAAAAAGTCTCACGGCATCACGGCTGAAGCCAAGCCGCGCAGCTCGATTTTATCAGGTGATCAAACCGATGATCCTGTCGAAGTTCGTGCAGTCACCAACGGTGATGTTGGCAGCCGATTGGTGGATTTGCGCGCCGTTGAACGAGGCATGCGCGCAATTTTCGTCTTTTGGGTTGGGGCTTCTGCATTCTCGGCACGGGCATGCACGCCTTGAGACATTGAAAAGCCAGTCGCAGGCTACAAGGTCACCGGGTGTCACCGGCCTCACCGGCTCAGAAGTTCGCAACGACAAGTGCAACCTTCAGCGATAGAAGCGCCACAAGAGGCCTCTGCGCCAAACTTATGTGCCTCCGTGCCTCTGCACCTTCTGCTGCGCTGCCAGGAGATGACCATAGCCCTGCCAGAAAGCCAGCTGCCGTTGCCTCTCATCTGCCTAAAAGCACCACGGCCACTTGAGCATGGAGTCCCACAGCTCGGGAAGCAGGCTGGATGCCGGGGCGTGCACCCACCTGCGCATGCAGTCCATGTAGCCAGCATCGACCTGGCACAGGCACGATACCAATCATGCACCGGGAGCTTGAACATTTCAACCGTGTCCGATCCATGGCAACGAGGCAAAATCAGAGCACGAACAGAAAATTAAACCCGACACGAACACAAGAGCTCTGAGAAAAAATCGTGGCTTTTCAGTCTGATTGATATCATTCTTTCTTCGGGCGCGGTCAAGCGCAGTACAGGAAGGGCTTCTCCTTAGGAGACTTTTCGCTAGTGAGATTCTAAACGCAGAATTTGTAAGGGCCACCGCATGCTTCGCACACGTGCAGGGCATCCAACGATATGTTGAAAGCAGCTAGCTTCCGCCGCATCGCTCCGTGGAGCACAGGCAACGGACGAATCACAGAACTTTGTGCCGTCCCGAGAAGTCAGGACGGATGCATTATCGATGTTGGCTACATTCAGTGATAGACCGCAGACGAAAAGACTATGAGAAGAAGACCATTTAGAAGCGTTTTGAGCAAACGCAGGCACACTGACGCCTGCCCCTGTGCCTGTACAGGCTCTCGGCCCGATGGCTCGGTGCCTACCTGGACATCGGCATGGGTGGCCGACCGCGTGTTCGCATTTCTCGAAGGATCCTCGGCTGAGAAGCGGCTCTCAAAGCGTTGGAAATCACTGCATTCCATCGTCTTCCAAGCGTCTGAAGCTTGAGCTGCCCGAGGTCTCTCACCGTGGCTGGGTTGGAGCCTCGCAAAGCGATCGTCTCTTCGAGGAACTCGGTAATGCTCATCTCCGCTTCTCCTGCAAACACCATGTCCTTAATCAGAACAAGGTTGAGGAATGTGAAGATGGAGTCCGATGGTGATCTTTGGACAAGCAGCCGGATCCCGGAGAATGGCCACGACATCGATGCCCGACTCCAGAAAGATGCCGACGAGGTCCGGACGATTCACCAAAGCTGCAAATTCGCCCCTGGCGATGACGTCCTCCTTCTTCCTCGGCCCAAGTCGTTCCAGCGCCTCTCCGGGGCAGCAGCGGACGGCACGACATGGACCGCCTGCCCTATGCCGCAAGGGCCTCCTGCAGAGCTTCGAAGATGGCGTTCCGCGTAGAGGCCTCCTGCTCTGCTGCAGCCACGACACCGACCACCTCAACCAGCACCCCAACAATCAGGTTCATGACCTTAGAAAGTGCGTAGGAGCAAGGCCAGACGCAGGCGCAGCATAAGGCATGGGCAGTCAGCGGTGCAAGAACAACAAAGACCAGAAGAGATAGACCTAAGGAAGCGAGGCCCCTCCGGCACTCTGCCAAGTATACAAAGCTGAGGCGACGTTGAGGCGCAAGCCATAGAGAAAATTTTCCTGAAGCAGAACACTGCTGGCTCGTCGAAGCAAGAGCCGACTGTGCCACGCATGCTGCGCCTGAAAGCACAAGCGGGCCAAATCGGGAAGACCCTGAAAGAAGCAGGCGTGGAACAGCAGCGAGAACCTCGGAATTTGGCAACCCCGCGCAGAGCACCAGGCAGGCCAAAAACGTCTCAAAGCGTCCGTGCTTCTGAGAGCAAAACATTCCATCGACAAGAGTCGGGAAGTAGGCCGTGCCCAGAGGCGTTCCTTCTGAGAGTTGCGTCAAGGCAATCGAGAAGATGTAGATGACAGACCTAGGCTCTGCCGGCATTGCACCACACGCCCGAGCACCTGCAAGCAGAGAGGAACTTGGCCCGGGACAGGAGGATGAGGCACGTGAAGAACCTGATACAGTTCGCTGCCATCACAGACTGATCGATGCCGCCGACACATGAATCGAACACGTCCGGCTTGCGTTCGTTCGTTCGTGGCAGGGTATCTTTCGAAACTCGAGATCAAGAACCTGAGATACAACTCGTATTTGCAGAGAATCAAGCTTCTCAACGAAGAGTTCTGAAAGACATGCTTCATCCAGCACGCCCTTGAGTGATGCGGGCACCCAAATGTTATATCCACTGTCACCTCGTCCCAACACGATGCGACTCCTGTTTGCGCTCGCTTTTGCTCTGCTCTTCACTGTCAGCTTTGATACCATCCGCTTTTCTCGAGAGATCTCCAGCTTTCGCTGCTGTGACCGGCCCACGTGGGTGCCGTCGTCTGGATTTAAACCCGGAACAGTGGGATTTGGAAATCTTTCAATAGGGCAGAAATGGGCAGAAGGCATCGAGTTTGCGAGGAAATTACCGCAAGGGCTCTGTCCTCATTTGTTATTTGCCACAAGTTTCACGAGTCCCTGACACGGAGCGGGAGGCGACCCCGATGCCCTTCAACAGGATCATGACCTGGCATCTGGATGGCAATCTTTCTCCAGTAACACAGATTCGCTGCGTCAGTGAGCCTCCGGCACCTGGCAGTACATACCGTACATACCGATGGGTGCTGAGTGCAAGAGAACCGGACATCCAGTCACAGATGGTTGAATAGCTCGCACCTGTCGGAGAAGCCGCGCGATCCGTGCCACACGGGTAAGCCGTGACAGCTTCAGAAGGCGAAGAACAGATGAGTCAAACACCTGCACAGGGATCACAGGGTTCAGGATTTCAGCAGAGTGTACCGGTACCGCAGAGTCTCCGCATCTTCTACCATTGCATCATGCTCAGAAGACATCAGGCTCACCCTTTGCGATCTTGCCCCCTGTTGCTGTCATCCTCTAAAGGCTTTTCAGAACTTGCAGTCTGAACTGCAAATCCGCTTTCACCCTTGTGCCGCGATGACACCTAAACGGACCTACACAGCATAGTCTCCACATCTTAATCGACATTGTACCTGAAAGCCCTCGTCGCGGAATAGTAGCAGCGGCAGAAGCAGCAGCAGCAGGAGGAAAAAGAGGAGTTGCTGTTGCTGTTGCTGTTGCTGTTGCTGTTGCTGTTGCTGTTGCTGTTGGAATGTCAAAGGGGTCTCGGTCCACCAGGAGATGCATGCTA